GGACACTCTTGTGGGTCACTCTTATGGGACACTCTTGTCGGACATTCTTGTGGGACACTCTTGTGAGACACTCTTGCAGGACACTCTTGTGGGGCACTCTTGCGGGACACTCTTGTAGGACATTCTTGTAGGACACTCTTGTGGGACAATTTTGTGGGACACTCTTGTGGGACACTCTGGTGTGACACTCTTGTAGGAAACTCTTGTGGGACACTCTTGTGGGACACTCTTGTGGGACACTCTTGTAGGAAACTCTTGTGGGACACTCTTGTAGGACACTCTTGTGGGACACTCTTATAGGACACTCTTGTGGGACACTCTTGTGGGGCATTCTTGTAGGACACACTTGTAGGACACTCTTGTGGGACGCTCTTGTGGGACACTCTTGTGGGACACTCTTGTGGGACACTCTTGTAGGACACTCTTGTGGGACATTCTTGTGGGACACTCTTGTGGGACACTCTTGTAGGAAACTCTTATGGGACACTCTTGTAGGACACTCTTGTGGGACACTCAGTCTTATAGGACACTCTTGTGGGACACTCTTCTGGGACACTCTTGTAGGACCGCTCTTGTGGGACACTCTTGTGGCTGTGGGACACTCTTGTAGGACACTCTTGTGGGACACTCTTGGCACACTGGAAGCAGTCCTGCGAGCGTTTCGTACGAGACTTCCTCCAAAAGTCACGCTTCGAGGCTGCGCAAGACGAGCGTTTCGTTCGAGACTTTCTCCAAAAGTCACGCGTCAAGTCTCCAAAACGAGCGCTTCGTACGAGACTTCCTCCAAAAGTCACACGTCAAGTCTCCAAAACGAGCGTTTCGTACGAGACTTCCTCCAAAACTCACATGTCAAAGTCTGCAAAACGAGGATTTCGTACGAGACTTCCTCCAAAAGTCAAGCGGAAACACCCATCGGAGCACACACATCACGCAGCCCTGCCAAGCAGTTTCGCGAGTCCAGCCCCTCCAAACAATACCCGCTCACACGCCAATCCCAATGTGACAGCGACATTCACCTCTACCACAACTCACGACCTCACGATTCCCTGCGCCTGCCACGAATCTTTCCGCACCCACACGTCTAACGCGCACAAAGTACTGCGCCTGCCACGAAATGTCACTTCCGTCACACCTCGCAACCTCACGATTTCCTGCGCCTGCCACGAAATCGCACTTCCACACCTCAAAATCAGCACAAAGTACCGTGCCTGCCACGAAAAGTGAGAATATCATCTCACGTGAGCTTCAATAAAATTTGCACCACACCACACGTTTAGAATGATTTCGACCCGTTCTGAGCACACTCCCATCCACCAAAATCGCCATTCCAGCTGAGACTTGTCACGAAAACAGAGCTTCGATGCCACACCCTACAACGCAAATCCCAATGGCACGGCCACATCCAACACCCCAAAAACACGACTCTCCAAACGCTAATCCCAATGGAACTGCGCAGCAATCTGCAGATCTCACAAAACGCTGCGCCTGCGCAGCGAAACGCATCACGTTTCTTGTGCGACATCTCATTTTCATGCAAATCACAATGGAATAGCGGCGCAAACTGACGCGTGACACATCCATGAAAAGTCACTTGCAAAAGCTTCCCCCAATGGCAGCGCCTTAGCGACCTACTGCGGACGGTTGCGAACGGTTGCGGACGGTTGCGAACGGTTGCGGACGGTTGCGAACATAGAAGCAACGGGTCGCGAACAAGGCTCTACCCCCAGACCCCCAAGAGTTAAACGAGAACCCTTCGCTACGCATTCGGGAAAAATATAAAAACACTTCAGAACTTCAGGTCGTGTTTGTTAAAAGGTGGTCCCCAAAATAGGGTTACCCGCGAAGATGGAAACCTGGGAAGAGCTTCAAATAATTGAAAAAGGTCTCCAAATCGAAGGGTCTTCCTCTTTCCTTTACAAAAAGCCTTTGTTAAAATAACTATTCTTTGCTTGTAAACTGTCCATCAGACTGACTAACAACAGAAGATTTCAAAAGATGATGTCGCTGTGTCTCTGGTAGTGATTCTAGTATACTAGTGTTAAAGCAGTGTCAGTGCAAGCCGATCGCAGCAAGCAGTTTCGTACGTACCGAAGGCACCTCGTTTGCTCAGGCGGAAGCAAAAGGACACGAGCGGCCGACGGGTAGGGTTAGGTAACCTGTTGTCGGGTCTAGGGACCCGTGTTTCGATATTGGTAGCGGAGCCCTCCCCGTAGGTGGTAGGGGGGAGGGTTCCAGGGGTTTTGTTTAGGTGTACAGCCTTAGGTTTGGTTGGAGCACCAAAGCAGTGTCAGTAGATCCATGGCGTCGTCGGATGTCGGTTCCCTGGGGAGTCAGAAGAGGTTCAATGGCGAGAACCTCGATCCGAGGGAATATCGACGCTGGAGGCTTTGGGTGGAAGCCAAAATGGCTTCAACAAAGGACCTGGGTCCGAAGCAGAGGGGCCCCTATGTCTTTTGTTTGTTGGATGGAGTGGCCCCAGAGGCAGTTGAGCATGTGACATTGGAGCAATTGACTGAAACCAACTGCGACAGTCATATTTGGACAGCCCTGGATGCAAGATTTCCTGACAAGTTGACCCACGATTGGCTTGCTGAGTGTTTGAAAGAGGTCTTCGAGCTATCGGCAACCGACGGCGAGAGCCTAGCCAGTTGGACGTCACGCGTGCAAGAAGCATTCTCAAAGTGCAAGAGGAAGGTCTCGGTTGATTTTCCTTCTGAAGCACGAGGCTGGATATGTCTCAATGCAAGCGGCCTCTCTCCTGACCAACGAGCGGTTGTGACCGCAAAGACTCAGGGAGATTTGCGTTTTGATGTTGTGGTGGCATCCATGCGCAGTTGTTTCCCGGAGTTCCGTGCATCTCGAAAGCATGCGAAGAGTTCGTCGGCCTTCATTGTGCAACAAGAGACGGAAGAAGACCCGGACGTTGAAGTGCCTTATACAGGTGAGACAGATGGCCCAGACTCTGTTCAGTTCGAGGAGGTGGAGGCTTTCCTGGCGGAGTATGGATTCAACGAGAACCAGAACGCCAGTGAAACATTCGAAGAAGAAGAGATTGCCGAAGTTTTGGCAGCCACCTGGAAGGAACGGAGAACAGAGATCTCCAGACTGCAGAAGTCTCGCAAGTTTGGACAGGCCAGTGCCGTGAAGAGACAGTTCAACAAGGAGATCAGTGATCTACAGAAGAGGTCTCGCTGTCGACGATGTGGTCAAACTGGCCATTGGGCCAGGAACTGCACACAGAAGAGTTCATCGAGTTCGACCCGCAGCGACAAGGACAAGGTGAACGGAGCAGCAATGGTTGAAGATGTGCTGTTAGTTTCATCCCCAGGGTTTGGCATCTTAGACTCAGGCTGTAGCAGGACGTTGATCGGGCAAGACACCCTGAACTCGTTCATGCGGCTGTATCAAGAGAGAAACATGAGCTGTCCTCCGACAAAGGAACAACACAACCTCTTTCGGTTCGGCAACGGCAATGAGGAATGGTCAGAGCGTGTGGTGTCCCTTCCCGTGGTTGTTCACGGGAAAGCTGGACGAGTCGAGGGGGCGATCATCAAGGGGAGTGCACCGCTATTGTTGAGTCGCAATACATTGAGAAGTTTACAAGCAGTATTGGACTTTGCACAGGGCACGCTTTCGATCGCAGGTTCACCACCAAGACCGTTACAGACAAACAGTGCTGGACAATATGTGTTGGATGTGTTGGGCCAAGACGAGGCCTTGCTATGTGAACAGCCGTCAGCTTCAGATGATTCAGATACAAGAGGACGAGATTGAGAGTGAGAAGACAGAGATCGACCTGGCTGAGCTGACTGTTGGCACGGAGAGAGAATACACCCGCAGAGAACATCGTTGTCTTTTGGCCAACCATGAAGCTTGGCAGAAAGGACGCAGTCAGTGCGTCGTTGCCGAGTTGTTCTCTCCACCCCGCTTCAGTGAAGTGCTTCGGGAGCGAAAGGAAGAGGGGCTGGCCTTTGACATTCAGCAGGGTTGGGATTTGACAGACCCAGCGACGCAGAAGAAGGTGAGTCGCTTGCTGGCTGAGAAACGACCTGAGCTACTGAGTGCAAACATTGGGGCGGTTGGTACAGGTTGAACAGGACCAAGCTGCCGCTGGCACAACAGTTGCTGAATCAACGTCGAGCTCGGGCACAAGCAGATTTTTGCGCCGAACAGATTCGCCTTCAGTTGCCCTGGGCATCAGATATTGATCCTAATCAATATTCTTGAAAAAAATCAACAATTTCTATTG